ACCTTTTCCTGATCATTTATTACATAATTTAACCCGTGATCTGAGGGCCATCGTCTCAGTCCAAGGGCAGTGGAGTGGTGAGTGAAGTCATTGGTTTGAGGAGACTGGTGGGGGGAGAAGAGTTGTCAGTGAGAGTTCCCCTGCCTGTTAGGGGCTGCGTCCCGGTGCCCAGTGGAGGGAGTAGTCACATGAGGCGATGACAGCTGACAGCTCAGCCCTGGCCGCTGTGGCTCAGTTGGTTGGAGCGTCATTCTGGGCACCACAGGGTCACAGGTTTGATTCCCAGTCAGGGTGTGTATGGGAGGCCACCGATCAATATTTATCTCACATTGATGTTTCTCTCCTTTACCCCCCGCCTCTCTCTCTCTAAAAGCATTAAAATAAAATAAAAACGTATCCTCAGGTGAGGATTAAAAAAGTAAATAAATGTGAAGTTTACATAAACATATATTTTGGTAGTGAAAGCAAAGGTGAGCCCTTATAACCTTCCCTTTATGTCCCGTAAGGATCCGATGGCGCCTTTTAATGGGACAAAGCAGGACTTTTATTGGGAGGGGGGTGAATCCTGGGCACGCGGCAGCAGCAGGCAGCTCTGTGACAAGGCCACCTGCATCTCCTAACGTACAAGTTCAGGGTGGGAGGGGTGTCCCTGCACCCCACGAACTGACAGCGGCACCCCCATTTGCCTACGCTCTGCAGCTGGCTGTATAGACAGCCCTGTGACTTCGCTTTGCGCCACATGGCTCAGTCCCAGGGGAAGTTTCTCTCTTCTGAAATATCATTGCACATAATTTAACACTGCAAGTCACCCCTCAGCCCCAGCCACGTAGGTGTCCTTATGTATTAACATGCTGAGTCGCGGGGGCGCTGAAGGCAGCGAAGGCCCACGCTCCTGGCAGGGACCGGAACGCCCTCCGCCCATTCTGATCCTCATCCTCACGGCAAAGGGCTGAGGAACTGTTAGAAATAGACCCAGTTGCCTGTTTGCAGGGCCTACGGTGATCAATATCCCACCAGCGTTACTGGGTTCTTTTAACTTCTGCTTTTTTCAAATAAATATTTTTTAATTTATTTTAATATCTTTATTGATTTCAGAGAGAGGAAGGGAGAGAGAGAGAGAAGCATCAATGATGACAGAGAATCATTTATCGGTGCCTCCTGTATGCCCTTTACGGGGGATCGAGCCAGAAACCAGGGCATGTGCCCTGACCGGGAATTGAACTGGTGACACCCTCTGGTTCATAGGTCAACACTCAACCATGGAGCCATACCGGCCAGGCTCTCTGACTTTGGTTTTCGTCTGAGCGGTGGTTCAAGGGCGGCCCTCTGTAGAGAAATGGCCCTGGACTCGGCGAGCAGCGAGGTTTGGGGAGTGAGCAGCCACCAGTTGCCCACCTGGCAATGGCCGTGTGCGCCTTGTGATGGATTGTTTAGGGGTTAAAGCCCTTCTGAAGAGAGAGAAGCATCAATGATGACAGAGAATCATTTATCGGTGCCTCCTGTATGCCCTTTACGGGGGATCAAGCCAGAAACCCAGGCATATGCCCTGACCGGGAATCGAACTGGTGACACCCTCTGGTTCATAGGTCAACACTCAACCGTGGAGCCATGCAGGCCGGGTTCTCTGACTTTGATTTTCGTCTGAGCGGTGGTTCAAGGGCAGCCCTCTGTCGAGAAATGGCCCTGGACTCGGCGAGCAACAAGGTTTGGGGAAGTGAGCAGCCACCGGTTGCCCACCTGGCAATGGCCGTGTGTGCCTTGTGATCGATCGTTTAGGGGTTAAAGCCCTTCTGATGGGCGCTGGTGGGCTGAGCCTTTGTGATGTGTTGGTGTTGCTCTGAAAATGTCGTGTCTCTATTCCTAATTTTAGAGCCTGCAGCTGCCCCTGCTGTGTGCTCACAAGTCGGTAGTTTTCCGTTCCTTTTGTTTACTTGGATTCCCTTCATATGTCCAATTACTCGCGAAAACGTCTCACTTGGTCTTCTCCCTTTTTTAACCCCGAGGTTATGTGCGTGTCATATCGTCTCTCGTTTCGTAGTTTGTCATCTCTGTCACTTCACCATTGCTTTTCAAATAATTAAAAGCTCTTCTTCAGACACAAGGTATCACTGTTTGTTTCACCTTCCCACCCTCTGCCTGTGTAACGTACACACTCTTACATCATTTGGTAGACAGGTTTTACCACACCGTGTTCTAGAGGATATGGCGTTCAATGTCTTTCATCTTCAGAATCAGAAAGCTGCTTTTTACTCGTTTCTTAGTTGCCCGTTTATTATTTTTTTTAGGGCCCCATGGATGCTTCTAGAATTCCTTGGAGGTGTTTTTATTTTGCTATTGTAATTCTTTTATGGTCTGGGTTTTGTTTGTTTGTTTTTCAAAATTACCCAGCTGGAGAGGAAGGGGCTAATGGGCTAATGCTTGAAATGTTCCAAAGCAAAAAATTTAAAAAATGTTTTGTGAAAAGGTTATGTCTAATGATCTCCCTGTAATACAGGTAATGCTGATAGTAGAAACATTGCCACTTGCAAATGAAAAATATATTACACTGGTTTTTCTTGGACTCGGCTAGCTTGCAACATCAAGAAGAAAGAAAACATTCATTTTAATCTTCATCTCCAACCTCTAAAATGTGATTGAGTCCTGGCCCGTGTGGCTCAGTTGGTTGAGCGTGAAAAGGCTGTCAGTTCAATGCGGGGTCAGGGCACATGCGCAGGTTGCAGGCCGATCCCCAGTAGGGGGCGTGCAGGAGGCAGCTGACCAGTGTCTCGCACATCGAAGCTTCTCTCTCCTCCCTTCCTCTCTCTCTAAAATCAATTTTTAAAAAACCACATTTTTAAGAAAAAGAGAGAGTTGAAGTGTAACCCACAGCCACTTGATATCCCTGGGCCTTTGTGAAATAGTGGCTTTTGCGGGTGTTTTGCTTGTTTTGACAGCGTACAGAGAGTTTCTATCAAATAAAATCTTACCTTTGAGCTCCGGGCAGGAACAGGCACTCAGGCTAACAAGGACCCTTTCCAGACTCCTGGGTACACGGCCCGCCTGTCCATAGGATGCTGCAAGGGAAACCCAAGAGCAGCTGGAACCCCAAGTCTCAGTGACGCAGGAATCAAGGTCTAAGGCTGTCACCCAGGGCGGAGACCCCACAGACACACTTTCCTGGGGGGCCCGCCAGGCTGGGCAGCCTCTGCTTTGGGAGTTCGTTGAAAGACAGTCCAGGTGCCGAGCCGCCTTGGAAAATGAGGCCAATGAAGAAGCCAGCTGACACCAACGAAGAAAAGAGAAAACGCCGACACCGTAATTTAAGTTCTAACATTGTCAATACGTTAACGAGGGCGGGCAGGGTTTTTTTCTAAAAACAGTGATCAGAAGCCAGGGAAGACACGTTTGCTTTGAGCATTTATTTGCTCTTGCTGTTTGCAAATTCTCTGCCGAGGAGTCTTCAACGTAGAAGCCCTTTTTTACGTTATCATTTGTTTTTTTTGAGTGCCCCCAGCTGGCTGCCCTTGGAGAAACCGTGCATGTAGATTGTCGCAGCAAGATCGCCACCTACCGGCAGAAATGATCGTCGCACACAAACGCCAGGGGGGCATTGGGGCTGGGATGAAACCCAAGTTTTCACCGGCTGGACTTTTTTTTTTTTTTTAATTTTCTTGATGTCAGAGAGGAAGGGAGAGGGCGAGAGAGAGACATCAGTGATGAGAGAGAACCACTGATCGGCTGCCTCTTGCAAGCCCACACTGGGGATTGAGTCCGCAACCCCGGGCATGTGCTCTTGATTGGAATCGAACCTGGGACCCTTCATTCGGCAGGCGCTAACGCTCTATCCACTGAGCCAAACTGGGTATGGCTGTCTCTTAAGTATCTTAATCTATAAGTGTGCAAAAGTGCTAGATTGAGATAACCGGTAATTTTATTTTTATTTTTTTTAAATATATTTTATTGATTTTTTACAGAGAGGAAAGGAGAGAGATAGAGAGCTAGAAACGTCGATGAGAGAGAAACATCGACCAGCTTCCTCCTGCACACTCCCCACTGGGGATGTGCCCGCAACCAAGGTACATGCCCTTGACCGGAATCGAGCCTGGGACCTCTCAGTCCACAGGCCGACGCTCCATCCACTGAGCCAAACCGGTTTCGGCCTTTCCTCATGTTTGAAGGCCAAATAATACTCCATTGTATGTCTGCACCACTCTTTTTTTTTTAAATTCCATTCATCTTGGGGTGGACGCTTGAATTGCTTCTACCTCTTGGCTACTGTGATTAATGCTGCATCGGAGACCCTCACCCGAGCTGGGAGGTCTCCCTAGGTCCAACGTTTGAAGATAAACTCCAGGCCTCCCAGGGCCCTCCTGCCTTAGACATCTTCAGAGCTCATGCCTGCCTTGGACTCTTCTGTCCTCCTCAGGAGGCAGCCAGCTTTCCTTTCTCATGCAGATTGTGTGTACGCTGTGTGGGGCTCCCACCGGGCCCTACGATTTGACAGAGCCTTCGGGAGGCTTGGTTTGGGGCCGCTGAAGACAACTGGGCTGAGGCTCAGTTTTTAAAAATATATATTTTATTGATTTTTTACAGAGAGGAAGGGAGAGGCATAGAGAGTTAGAAACATGGATGAGAGAGAAACATCGATTAGCTGCCTCCTGCACACTCCCCACTGGGGATGTGCCCGCAACCAAGGCACATGCCCCTGACCGGAATCGAACCTGGGACCCCTCAGTCCGCAGGCCGACGCTCTATCCACTGAGCCACACCGGTCTTGGCTGAAATCAATTTTTAAAAAGTATATATATATTTTAAAAGAATTCACTTTATATTAGAAAAAAAGGTTTGAGCCTCCCAGGAAGCCAGGCTGGGAGTATGAGGATGCTGACGGGAACTGGAAAAACCAAACCCACCCCAGCCGCGGGCTGCCTCCGCCCAGTCTGACAAATAGGCAGACGCAGCCGGGTGCTGAGGAGGTGGACAGGCCAGGGCTGTGATCTGACAAGAAAGATGCCCTTCCTGGTCAGCCCCGGGGACAGCCAGGCTTCCAGAAGAGCCCGGCCAAGCTTAGGAAACAGGCCGGCTTTTCATCCTGGCTCCTCCTAAGTCCCCATGTCCAGACGTCTGCCCGCTGGCGCCATGGTAACCGTGAGGCCACAATGGAACATTCTTCCCGAGGTGGTAGAAGGGGATCCCTGTGTCGGGCTCTTGCTGCGTCAGGTCGAGCGAGCTCATTTCTCCTTCAGCTGGAGCAGTTCGCAGAAGAGCTCTGAGAACAACCGGATGACGAGAGACACCGGTGTCGGGAGTGGGACATGTGACTGAGAACGGCGCCCATGGCTTCCTCCGGCTCTTGTGCATCCTTTGAGGCAAAGGGAGGAGGTAAGGCGGGCGGATGGCCAGGACGCTTCGCCTGGGGCTTAAATCTATTTTTATTGATGTCAGAGAGGAAGGGAGAGGGTGAAGGAGAGAGAGAGAGAAACATCAATGATGAGAGAGAATCATTGATCGGCTGCCTTCTGAATGCCCCACACCAGGGATTGAGACTGCAATGCAGGCAGGTGCCCTGACTAGGAATCAAACCGTGACCTCTTGGTTCACAGGTCGACGCTCAACCCCTGAGCTACCCGAGCTGGGCCGCATGGCCTGGGATGCAGACACACCTGAGCTTGGCTTCCAGCCTCCCCACTTGGCAGCCACGTGCCCTTGGGCGGGCTCCTCAATGTCTCCCAGGGTCAGTTTCTGAATCTGTAAAGTGGGGCTAATCCCTGTGTCTATATCACGGGGTTATGGTGCGAGTGAACGCAGCAAAATACCTGGTCGGTGGCTACCATATGTAAAAGCAGGAACTGTCCCTGGTTAAACCCACCATCATGGAACCCAGCCGCGTTCAGTAGGAGGGACAAAACCAGGGCGGACCCACACTGAACCCCTGCCTTTTCCTTTCGGCAGCGTTTTACAGCGACAGCGTTAAGGCAAGGGTTGAATTCCAGGAGCCAAACACCAGCACCTTTCTGAGCCCCGACTGTCTGGGAAGCGGGGACCCTGGCTGGATCGACAGGCGGGGGCGGCCCCCTCTCCTCGGGCCGTCTCCCGGGTCCCAACAGAGTCTCGGTGCCCCGCGCCTGGTCCCTGCTACCGGACGGACCGGGCCACGGGGACAGGACAGGTGTGTCCCTCACGTCCCGAAGCTGTGCCGGAGGGAAGGGAAGGGCAGGGCAGGGGCCGGGCCTCGGACGCTGGGGGAAGGCACTGCTCAGGGAGGAAACGAAACGAGCTCTTGTCCCCACAGCTGCCCGTGGTGTCTGCTGCGGCCGCGCCTGGGGACGGCGGGGATGCTCTTGGTGCTGCTCTGCGCCTCCCACGCTTCGGCTAGTGAGTGCCCGCTCTCCCCGTCACCACAGGGCCCTTCCGTCCGCGGGCTGACGCTCTGTCCACTGAGCCAACTGGCCAGGGCATGGGAGCTTCTCAAAAATGCCCGTGCCCAGGCCCTGTCACCAGGGGTCGGGGAGGGGGCCGGGGGCAGGTGGATGGAGTGTGCAGCCAGGTGGGGGGAGTCCCTGCACCCCACTCTACAGGGGTGGGGAGGAGAGGGCCCCCAGGGACACAGCGACCAGCGAGGGAGGAAGCGGGGCGGCCAGGCAGAGCACGCCTCCCCTCCCTCACTCCCCACCCCCCACCCCCGTGTGGGCACCATCCTCTCTTTCATGGGGAAGGAAACCAACTAGGAAAAGAAGCGGGGCTGGGAGAGTTAATGGTGACCATGGCGAGCCAGACAGAGTGGGCGGCCAGCAGGAGGGGGACCCCCAGTCGGGTGGGGGGGGGGGGCACGCCCGCCCGC